CGACACGAGCGGTAGCTGCCATCGACGTTCTGGCAGAATCAGGACTGGGCCAATGGTTGGTCGATTAACCCAATGACGAAGGAAGGCAGGTGCCTCTTTCCCTTGGAGTCGAAGTATGGCAACTGATTTGTGAAGGTTGACATTGAACCCGAAGGCTTGAAGAGTCATCAAAACATGTTGAAGGTCAGTGAGAACTTCAAGGGCTTGGGCTGTCGATCGAATTAGCCACCGAAGATGGATGTGTGCTCATGAAGCCATTGGTGGGAGTACTTGTTCTGGAGGTCAACTAGTACGAGGCTCATAATTAGTGTCCACAGTAAAGGGGCATCTTTGGCCCCCTGTTTGATTCCCCGATGTGCCTGGATTTGTCCGATTAACTGCTTGAAGGGAATACAGTACTTATGGCGGGTGAGCCACGAATGCACAAATTGAAAGAGGTCGGAATCCAAGTGGTATAGCTTCAAGGCTCGGAGCACTAAGGTTCGACTGACCGTGTCAAATGCCTTTTCCATATCTAATGATACCTGGAGATCTCCAAGTAACTTAGGCTGAGGACCAGTCTTGACATCCTTGCACATCATGCGTACTACGATTAGGAGACATTCACGGGTTCCTCTTTGAGGCAAATACGTATAAAGTGGAAGACATCTAAATCTGTCGAACGTCTGCAGAACTATCTGCCTGCATTATATTCCGGCAAGAATCTTGTTGACCGGGTATTGGAGACAGATCGGTCTAAGTGCCTGTGGTTTGATTGGGGATTTATTGGGATTAGTGAGGAGATGAATCCATCTTATTGTCCAATGATCCGGAAGTTTTATGGGATATCTTAATCAAATCTGCTGAATCTGATGCATTAAAAGATCAACAAGATCATGCGCGAAATGCTTCCAGATCAGTGCTGGCAATCCATTTGGTGCCAGGGCTTTGGTGCTTGGCAGGTGCAAAAGCTCAGTAAGCACATCCTGGCGGTCGAAGGGAAGTCGGGTAAGGGGTTCGAGTTCCCGGATATCAAATATCGGATCGGCAAACAATTGGGATAATACCTTTCGATGGATTCCAACTCTTGCCTCGGTGCTAAAGGCATGCCATGAGGATCAAAGAGTTGAATTCGTTTCGGTCTTTGTTTGGGACACAAGAGCCTAATCTTCCGGTACCAATCAAAAATACATCCATAAAGGACAAGATCAGCACCCTCAGTGAGGATCGTGTGCAATTTATCCCTCTTATTCTATCGACTCTGTTTACGAATAGCTTTGTGGATGGTTGGGAAGGTGATGATATAAACCCAACACTCAAAGGTTGGGAAGGTGGTGATATGAATCCAACACTCAAAGAGATCGCGAATGCTGCGGCCTCGAACATCCTGGTAGTCATGGAGGGAATATGGGGTGCATGAAGGACCCGTTATTGTCGCTTGGGAAAGAAAAGAGAACATATAGTTCTAAGTTCTTGTTCAAAAGCGAGTATGGAAATCTCATGGGGTTAGTAAGGTGTAATATGTCTGGTAATGCATTGACGGATTTGAACCTCGAATTGTTGCCAGTGTATAATATGTTCAAATCTAACCGTACGAATGGCAAACCTATAATGCTGTTTAAAGCAAGCACCGGTTTCCGAGGCGCAAACCACCTGAGCAAGACAAAGAACAAAAGGTCCATAACAACCAAAATTGCGCATAAAATTCCTATCCGTGGTAAATTACATACGACGATTTTAAACCTAATGTTGTTTCAAAAACCCACAATCAATGCGAAAATAATAAGAACCTAATAGGAACCATGTTCAAAGGTCGATGCATACTGCTGTTTTGCAATGCAACGCAATCAGGTCCTATGTTTTCATCAATTGCTAAAAAAAATCACGATCGGTGTAAGTGCTTAATATTTTAAAATATAATTAATTATAAATATAGTAAACAACATATTTCATCGTAGCATCCTTCCCATTTAATAATTACCCAACACAACCAAAACGATTTAATAAACATATATAAAAAATATCCATATATATTAGTTTTAATTACGAAATCTTCAATCATATAATTTTAACATTTAAATTCTAAAATTAATTAATATTCCAAAATTAAAAATATTTTCTATAATTAATATTCCGCGACGAATAATATCCGCATCATACGATAACGTATTTGCCTATAATATCCATCCAAATCAATATAATTAATTCCCAATCCCCCAAACACGTGCAAAATTACGGAATCCTAATTACGAAATCCCATTATTACATTCTAATTATAAAATCCCGATTATATAATCCGAAATAATTATAATAATTAATTTCGGAATCCGAGCAAATAATTACGGAATCCGAATTATAAAATCCTACGTAATTACGGAAATCGATTTTATCCAATATATTAACCCTTAAATTATCAATTATCGTAACGACCGCTATTACCCAACACGAACAAAAATTGACCACTACTAGAAATGGAAAAAAAAACATATTTTCAAAACATTTTCTTAAAAATTAGACTAGTTATATATATATATACTATCTATTCCGTTAATATTATACTAATTCAAAACGAATAATTCTATTCATAAACTATAAATTTTAAGAAAAAGAAGACAAATAAATAGATATATAATTTTAAAGAATTATACTTATCAATATACTCAATAAATGTAAATGATTGAATACAATAAATATTACCATCGATATATCGAGAATTCGACGATATATTGCGACAGAAGCAGCTATCCAAGGAATCTGCCAGGGCAATGAATGAACACATCCAGAGCTTCATGTGTAACCACCCAAAGGTGCCTCGGAGGCACTTCGCAAGGCTTCTGTTGCAGCAGTGTCTTGCTTGAAGCCCAACGCCTTGGAGTAGATTTTGCATGGTTTGCTCCCTTGAAAGAAACGCAAACCCAAAAGGGGCCAGTGACCAACGGGTGCAAGTGGGGCAAAGTTCAGACTCACAGCGTCTACAAGGTACAAGCCTCCACGCGCTGTCTGGACTCCTCGAGCTCCTTAATCTTGTGAAAGCATGTGAATAAACGTTTAGTTGTTACCTTGATCCTGTTGAGCACAACTCTCCATTTTCGGGGACTGACTCTCTACAATCGTAGTCTTAAAGGCTCAAGGCGTTTATGTTGACCCCTTTGTAGTCTTTGGAGTGGTTCAAGCGCATCAAGTCATGGAACTGTGCCTGGCAGTTGACGTGACCTTCGCCCTCAATGCCCGGGGGTGCCCAGGATCTCAGCGGTACGTTTGCAGGCTTGGCCAAAGACAATTCACACAAATCCTTATACATACACCTAGGTACAAAAGCAGGTTGAAACTTCCTACCATGTATTCATTTGCAATCTGGGACGTCGCTATCCCTGTGAAAGACCTGAGAGAGGAAAGTCAGCCTTCCACGGGCGTTGCGCATGTGGGCTCCCGACAAGACTAAGCCCTGAGAGGCGTGCCTGCCTTGGGCGAACTGGCTGAAGTGCAAATTGGGTATGTCACACATGCTACAATGATGTAACTTAACACTTAAAAAACACACATGTTCGTCCTTCTCAGGCCAACCGTTGTGCACCGGCCACATGATGACAGCACCACAATGATTCGCATTACAACTAACATATTATACATTCTTTCTTACCAACCTCCTTGCAAAACAGTTGGGGCTCTCCAGATTTGTTATTATTCTTTGGAATGGCGCCGAAGCAAGTACATACAATCGGCGTGGTGTGATGGTCGCACTTTCATTCACTTTTGTTTCCAGTTGGTCCGCTCTTTCGCGACTCTCAATGTCTCTCAAGTATGATTCGAGGCAAACCCTGTGCCTGTGCGAGCGTAAATTGCAGTACGTAGGTCACTGCAGCGTGATGAGAGCTAGACAAGTATTGCGTGACAACATAGGGTGGGGGCCGGATGGGTGGGGTGGTGCGTACGTTGCACTTGTTACGCAACTCACTTGCTACAACCGGCCCGTCCAGGCCAAACAGCCGGCCGGGCGCCCAGTCACACACGTATCAGCTACGTACTGCAGAAACGATATACATAGCCGGCCGGCCGGCCGATCCCCGACTTGCCGGCCGTCATCTCATGGGCTGACCATTCTTGGTCTTCAAGGTCTTAGGGACAAATGTCTTCAAGTGCCCCCAAACATTGTCGATCATTTTCTCCGTTCTGTTCTTTTGTCCTGGCATGCCTCGTGGCAAGCGACGAACGAGTGGCGTAGCAAGTCAGTTGCGTAACAAGTGCAACGTACGCTCCCACCCCGCCACCCCATGTGATCACATAGCAGTGGCGGCCGGCTGACTGGCTGTGTAGCTACAGGATCGGCTAACAGGTGGCAAAAGTTGAAGTCGTCGTGGTGGTGGTGGTGGTGGTGGTGGTAGTGGCAATTAATAGTGGTACTGGTTGTAGTGGTAGTGGTGGTAGTAGAAGCAGTAGTTGTTGTTACTTGTATGTCAACAGCTGGGTGTAGAGATGGAACGAATTTGTGGGAAGACGTGGCCAAGTTGTGCCGAGCTGCACGATGAGGGATTGATAAAAAGGGGTCCAAAATCGGGCAGCTCAGCCAAGTTCATGAAATGCTGGCAGGGGCGGTCTAATTGACACCTAAGGAATGAAACTCCTGTAAACACGAATCGACATGCTCTAACAACGCCGTCACGCCGCTGTGGAAACGGCAACGAAGGCAACTTGGCGCGCATTAAGAAACACCAAAATCCCTGACAATGCCGTGCCCTTGTTTACACAAACCTGACTGCACATATCGTCAGGCCTAGATTTTGCAAGAACTGCTCCTCGTGCTCAGGAGGGATGTGTTCTGCCACCTTCGAATCAACCCCTCATGAACGAGGTTTCCAAGGAGATGATCTGGCTGATTGCAGGCAACTTTTTGATGTTTCACTCTTCAAAACAAACCATTGGCAATGTGAAACCTGAATTAGGTGGAGAACCATCAAGAGGAACAGCAGAGTTGGGTAAATGGAACAGCCTTTCACATAGTGCCATAGCTTTGTCAAGCCTGCTTACGCCGATTCAATGAAATCCTTTTGGAACGCCTCCAAGCACATGACCCAATCGAAAGGCTCTGGGTACCAATCCTTGACTAACGGCTTGTTTCTTTTGAGAATACGGCGGACTGTAGCTACTCTCTTGAAGCACAAAGGTGGCACACTAAGGCGGTGTCTATCTCCAACTTTTCAGCCAGATCGACCTGCGCTAGTGTACCGCGCTTGGGACGTGTAATTCTGAACACCAGAGCAGCACATTTGCATGAAAAAAATAGTAGAGAAGTCATCCAAAGCTCTTGCCTGAGTCACAGCACCATTTGTGATCTCTGTGACACCGGTGACACCATCAAAGGCAAAGGCTGTGACCCACCCTGTGTCGTTCAGCCACCTGCGATGAAAAAGGTTGCAACACGTTGCAAACATGATTCTGATTTTGTTGGCAAAGCAAAGCCAGGCTGCAGTCCGCCTGGAGTACTGCCCGTCTAAAGCTCCGAAATCGCCAAGACGTGTGTCTCGTGGCAAGAGACGAAGCCTTAGGGGGTTATCACAAGCCACACTGGCGAAAGGTCATGAATGTCAAGCCTGGAAGGGAGCAATGGATGGATCATGCATTTGAGGTGGAGTATGCCAAGTATGCATGTGCTCCAAGCAACCTTTCTCTACACATACTTTCCCAAGTTGATCTTTTGAGGGTACATCTGAGGCACCGGGCAAGTAGCGAAGCAGCCCTTTGTCCAGAATTGCTGACCTGAGCAAACAGTCTCTGGGAGCCAAGAACTCAAAAGCAATCTACATCTGCTTGAACACTGTTTTAATATGTTTTAATGCTGAATCTGAGTCCAATGATTTTGACTGCGCTGTCCACTGCAGGTGAGCAACTCTGGGAAAAGCGTCCGATAGATGACCGTGGAGTTCATGAACATGCCATGCCTGGAATCGATGTGATGCCATGCCCTCTTCGTCTCTTCGGGTGCTTCTTCCTAAAAAGCCTCCAAGAGGATCTAAGAGGGACACTCTTAGTTTCCTTCTAAGGCCTTTTGTCTTTATCTCCACAGCTTGGTGGTATGCTTTCTCAGCTGAGAAGATCACTCCTGATGGCCCCAGAAGTGCTCTGAACCTCGCCACTTGTCAGCTCTAAAGGATCTGGCACTATACAGTACAGAGTAGCAATCAACAACATATCAGACATGCCACTTTGTATTGCTTTGAGAAGGAGTTTCGCGTGGCCAGAACCCTTCCTCAGCTCTGAAAGTGCTCGGAGCTCGGGCGCGGAAGCTCCTCAGGCAATGCCTCCCGAAGACCTGCGAATAAAGCCTGGAGGGAAAAGAGTTGAAGGTGTCCAAGACACAAAGGTCGTGCATTACAGTACGTCTCTGCTTTTGTCTTGCTAGCGACGATTGGACTTGATCAAGCAACGCTTAACAGACTTGAAAGAACTTACTTAAACATTGCTTGTCCATGGCAAGTATACAAATACAGTCATCAACTGAAAAACTATGCAAAGGCCTTGATCTACAACATTCCAAGCACTCCGTCTAGACTAAAACTGATGCTGAAACCACATGAATTGTGAGTTTCTGTATCTTCTGGACGGTCAAACATACAACTACACCGCGGGAAAGAAACAAACTCTAGCAATGCTGCAACATAAATACGTAAAGCTGACCAAGCTTGGCTCCTCAGCCTTTTCCAGGCAGCGAAGCAACGCCTCCAGCACCCAACAAAATAGAACAAGGCAAAGCACTAGGAGCTTTAACGTGGACAATATGTTGAAGTATTTGAAGGATCACCCAAGGAGTTGAAGTAGACTTATATATATATATATGTATAAAACTCTAAACACTTCTCACCCCAGCAGGCTTGTTTGGATCCGGTGTGGCAATCAAGGTCCAAACATATCCAAACTGCATCTTAATCATCTTACATTCTCAACGGTTTGGCGATTGTCACAAGTTTGTGCAGGTGTGAGCCACACCTGCAAGTGTTTCGCTGGGCTGTTGGTGTTCGAAAACTGGCCGATGTCGAACATCCACCACATTGTGGAGACCTGCATCAACATTGCAAAAGTTATAGTACCGCAAGCTCTTCGCCTACAAATTGATTTGACACCTGAATCGACATTTCTTCACTTTGACAATCCTTCATTCAAGTGTTCTTCTCTGTATAAAATGACAGCATTTATAAACCTCCCATCCGAACAACATCCCAATCTTCCCTTGTGGACCTGGCCAATCACCTATGATATTTGCAATCCATTTGCAGCGTTGAGCCTTCACATCATCTTCCGATCTTTCTCAACTGGGCTCTTCACCGAGCCCTTTCCAGCGTCCTTGCTCCTAGTAGCGATGCCCTTTGCTCCTAGTAGCGTCCTTGCTCCTAGTAGTAAGGCCAAGAGTCCCTAGTAGCGTCCTTGCTCCTAGGGTCCTAGACTTCCGAGTAAACCAAGCGAAGCTTTCGCAGAAGATTGTATTATCCGAGCCTGCTGCTGTAAGGCTTGCTGCAGCGGTTGCAAACTCCGTCCCAGCAGGAGACGAACGGAGGACTGAAAGCAGGGCCTGCGGGTCTCAGAAAAAGACATCAAGGAGTGAATTTTCGATGCTTAGCTGCTAAAGTGAACTCAAAAAGCAACCGTCAGTGGTTGACGGGTGACCGATGTAAGGATTCCCTGGCCTCAATAGTTCCCAAATCCTGCCCCTACTCTGTGAACAAAAAGGTAGCTGGGCATCTACCTGAACACAGGGATCCTCAGGGATGCCATCAGTGATGCGGTGAAGGGAAACCGACAAACATCAAAAGGGAGATCTCCCAAATGCAAGCAGAACAACAGTACTGAAGCACTAGATTAGATCCAACTCCTTCCCTCAAGCCCTCAGCGCTGTCGACTGTCAACACTATGGTCATGTCTCCCCATAAAGAGGTGTGGGTGGGCGGGGGAAAACACGTGCAAACCGCGAGTAATCCACTTGCCAAGACCAGTGAACCTAACAGAACCTAGGTCACTCACCCTGCAAACACAGGCAATGGGCACAAAGTAAAACAAGGCAGCAAGCAGTCCACTTGCAAAAAACCCAGTGAACCTGACAGAACCCAGGCAGCTCTACCTGATGAAAATTAACGCTGTGGCATACTTCCATGAAAGTATCTGATAGCTTCAGTCTCCAGGAGATCTGGTGCTCGGTTGACGTCAATCGAAACGCTCTTGCCTATGCATCACAGCAGCCAGCCCCAACAATTGAAGTGCCTTCAAACTGAGCCTTAGTCAGTTTGCATTACCCCTTCCACCTTGCTCTTCTCTTTATTGGCTTCCGCTGAGGGTATATGCCCATTACTTTGTAATAATAAACTAGCGATGCTTCTCGCGTGAGCACTTCTTCTTGCATGAGGTTGGCTGCCAGCTGGGCTGTCCCACTGCAACACCACCATGACATTTGGAAAGAGCTGGCCATAAACTGACGAATGTGCCAGAGCAACAGCAGTGATGATAACAAGGGACAGAAAGAGACAAAATACGCTTTGCAAAATACAGAATCCTTTGCAAAATACTGAAAATACGTCCCATTATGGCTTGACCTTTGCAGAATCCTAAAACCGACGGACCAACCGCTGGGGCGACTGCACGGCCTGGGCCACGTTCATCATCTTCGGAGAGTTGTTCCAATTGCTGCAACAGCATCGGAACACCTTATTCCAAACATCTCGCGGGTCCTGCTCAAAGATCAAATGTCCCAAAGCATCCTAAGACTAAGAACCTGAGGGTGGCTCTGTCCACGAAGTGGTGAAATGCCTCAACATGGTAAACATCTGTATGCCAATCATCTCAATCTTTCCTTGAAGGATAAGTAATCGAAGGAAAAGTCCATCGTGGCTTTTCTGAATCTTTCACACGTAATATCAGCGAACTTGCATATCAAAGCAGTTGTCGCTGACATAGTCGTTGTAGTCCACACAGCACTTCTGACTTCGATGCCAAGGTGTGGGCATTTCCCACCTCCAAGCTGGAGACATCGACCAGTCGCAGAACCTGCAAGTTAGTGAACGATACATATGGCCCTACTCTATCCCCTCTCCTGAGTTGAAGCTTTTGAGTGATTTACAAACTTACGAGTGCACACATGGACAGAACTCCACTCTGAAAGATGAATAGCAAGGACCTTTAATGTGCTTACATTCCCCGGGATGAACTTAGTAGTGGTAGCCTGGTAGGTAGAACCCAAAAGTAACGGTCTTGGCATCCGTGCAGACTCATGCACTTCTTTGCAGTTGTGCCCTGCATTGGACAAAACCTGTCGTGCGAAGCAACAAAAACAACACACCGTTCTACCATTTTGATATTCAGTTCTCATTTCCTCAGCTGTGGCCTGAACATCTGCGGCGCCTTGGCTGTGACTGGAATATCTGGACTCGAGGCTACAAACATTTGATCTGGTATCATCACGCAATCACTAGTAGTAACAAGAAGCTACTAGTAACAAGTGCATCGCTTCTAGTAACAAGTGCCTTACTAGTAGTAACAA